AAACCTGTTGTAACCTGTCACTTCTCTGGCTCTCCTCTCCTGCTAAGCTGTGTTTCCTGGCAGTCATTAAAATTTCCTGCCACTGCCAGAGCTACTGCTATTGCTGCAACCATAACCAGAGCCACCTTGGTTTCATGGTTTGGCAAAATATTGACCTCCACACAGGCCAGAGCTTCTGCCTCCAAAGTTTCCTCCCTTTCTAGGTCCAAAATTTGAAGACTGATTGTTGTAATCGTCAAAATTATTGTAGATTCCTCAACCTCCAAAATTCCTTCCATCATTACCAAATCGTTATAACCATCCCCGCTACCTGCACATCCACCATGGTTATGGTGGCCACCAAAGCCAACACGTCCACTAAAGTTTCTGCCCCGACCAAAATTGTCATTCCCACCGAAACCACCTCCTTGACCACCACTGAAGTTTCCAGAACCACTTTGGCCTCTTTGGCTGGAAAAGACTCTGGTCATCTCTTGCTTCGACAGAACTTCCTTTACTCCAGAGTCATGGCCATTCACAGTATGGTATTTCTGAATGACAATCTTATCGATGAAGTCATGCTCATCAAAAGTTACAAAAGCAAAGCCCCACTTCTTGCCTCTGCTCAATCAGTCACAATTTCAGCAACTTCAATTTTCCCCTATTGCTCAAAATCATCATTGTCTTCTTTGATGCCGCAGACATAACTCTCATCCACCAGTCCATGGGCACCTGGTCTTTGAGAGTGTTCTTGCAAGCCCTCTTTGGTTCCACGACACTTCCATCCACCCTGTGTGGCCTTGCGTTCCTGCCCGGGTCCCCCTCCTCCACATTAGAGTAAGGGACACACCCAAAGCCTCTGGAACGCTTGGTGGTTGGATCGCTCATGACCACACAGACCGTGAGTAACCTCCCCCCCCTACACACACACACACTTAGGAAAAACTGGGGAACTCCAGTACTGGGAGGTAAACAGCCACAGCACCAGGAAAGCCTGTTGAGGCAGACCATGCAACAAATGTCATTTGTGGTAATAACTTCTTTCATGAGGATTGATACCCAGCTAGCTCCCAGAAGTTGGAAATTGAAAAAAAAAAAAAAAAACCAGCCCAAAGTCCAACTCTTGTGAGATAACTGTCTGCTCCATTTCACCCCCTCACTCCTCCCTTGGGTGCATCCCCTCACATCTCTGGGTTCCGAGTGTCCCTGCAGCGTCCCACAGAAATCATGAATGTTCAAGGACATGCGATGGTGGGAACTGTTCAGTCCAAAGTCCAAAGGTCAGGCAGGGATAAGCCAGATACTGGGTCCAGAGGACTCACCCCACCCTTGGCTCTTGCTGGTAATGACCTCACCCCTCCTGCTTCACGGTGGAGTTTTGTATTTGCCACAGGATGGCATTGCAGACGAATCCTATCTGGTAAGATCCTGATCTTACCAAAGTCATGCAGGGAAAGGTCATTTGGTGGAAGTTACATTGTGCAATCAAATTTCACCCAAATGTAGTAATCTAAAACCTCCACCCAGACAGTATCTTATTTATTCACATAAGGCTTGGGGCCTCTGGCAAAATGTTCCCAGTTCTTCCTACTAATCGTAATCAGCCAGGTTTTTTACCCCCAGACTGCTCCAAAAACAGTTTTCTTTTTCCTCTCAGCTTTAGAATATAGTTCCTTACATCAATTATCAGTAACAGTAACTAATAACCACTAAACAGATCGAGGGTCTGATTCTACAAAGGTCAGAACTCAATCTCATCCCACTCCTGTTTGTTAGCAGATAATGCCCTCCAAAACTGGACCATAGCCACAGGCGTGAGAAATATAGAATTATTAAATATTACAGAATTATGATATATCACATAAGGGATTATGGCTGGAAGGGCTATACGAATTTATATAACTCACATTCATTAATATCTGTGGAATTGTCAGGAAAAAAACCTAACTTACTGTGTAAAATTTCACCAGAATCACAATATAAAATTACTTTAAAAATAATTAAGCACATTCTTTGGAAATATAAACAGCGAGTGGATTTCAGTGCAGCAAGCCATGTTGTTTTGGGCTTTCCCACTAATGGTCAGTAATCGCTCCTAAATGAACGCTTGTAAGGTCACTTGAAGGAAAACAGGGAGAGGGAGAGTTCCTTGACAAAATGAGAGCTCTGGTGGCATCGTGGTAATGGGTTGAGCTGCTAACTGCCAAGCCAGCAGTTTGGAACCAAGGACACTTCCTCAAACAGTTACAGTCTAGGAAACTCAGCGGGGACAGTTCTACCCAGTCTCATAGAGTCGCTCCGAGTTGGCATAGACTTGATGGCAGCAAGGTTGGTTTGGAGTTTTGGTAAAATATGAATATATCCTTGATCCATCTTTGATTCACTATCAAAATCCCTATTAGCAAGTTCTTTTCCCACCACCCAGAGGATAAAGCCAGAACTCAGAAAATTCTGCAAGGGAAAAAAAAGTGAAGTGAACATTTTCAGCCAATAGTAAAACAGGATAAAATATTAGCAATTCATATTTTCCTCTATATCCCATCAATCTGTTATGCTGTTTCCCTCATGGTATGATAAGAAGAACTCATTGAAGCCCAAAGGATTTTAGTTGAACATCCTTACGTGACCCTGGACAAAAGTTGGGAAAATAAATTTAGTGTCCTCTCTGTGGGGATTATGAGTTAATCAAACCATCCACTTGCATCTCCCTTTATGAAATGCTTCAGGCACATCCGACCTAAAGACATAATGGCCTGGATGGACTCTAAAGCACAGGGGAAACATCCCATTAAACAGGCAAGCTGCATTCCCTCACCACCATCAATATTTGTTAAAGGGTCGCTTAGAATGGCTTCTTCGAAAACTTTAGGCAACACTGCCCTCTAGTGTCTAGCTATAATGTTACAGTCCCCCCCCCGCCCCCATCCCCATTACTTGGTTCCCTTTGTCTCTGTAGCTGACAGTAGATTCCAACTCACAGATGACTAATTGCAAGGTCAGCGATTCAATCACCAGAGGCTCCCTGAGAGAAAGATAAAGCTGTCTCCTCTTGTCGAGATTTACAACCTCAGAGTCCCAAAGAGGCTGTTCACTTGGTGCTAGAGGATTGCTATGAGTTCAAATGGATCCTATGGCAGTGAGTTTGGTTTGGGAGTTTATTTTACAGGTAAAGAAACTGAAGCCTATGAAGGTAAACAAGCTGCCATCAAGCTCAGAAGCAACAAAGCATACATGGAAGAAACACACCAGCCTATGCAATCACGAGGTGTCGAAGGGATCAGGTATAAGGCATCATCAGAACAAAAATTCTTACCATAGTGAATGATGGGGGGAGTGCGGAGTGGAGACCCAAAGCCCATGTGTAGGCCACTGGAGATCCCCTTGCAGAGGGGTCTCGGGGAGGAGAAGAGCCAGTCAGGGTGCGATGTAGCAACAATGCAAAATACAACTTTCGTTTGGTTCCTAAATGCTTCTTCCCCGCCCCCACTATCATGATCTCAATTCTACCTTGCAAGTTTGGCTAGACCAGAGGATGAACGCTGGTACAGATAGGAACTGGAAACACAGGGAATTCAGGGCAGATGTTCCCTTCAGGACCAGTGGTGTGAGTGGCGATACTGGGAGGGTAGAGGGAGAGTGGGTTAGAAAGAGGGAACTGATTACAAGGAACTATATGTGACCTCCTCCCTGGGGGATGGACAACAGAAGAGTGGGTGAAGGGAGATGTCGGATAGGGCAGGATATGACAGAATAATAATTTATATATTATTAAGGGCTCATTAGGGAGGGGGTAGTGGCAAGGGAAGGGATAAATGAGGACCTAATGCTGGGGGTTTAAGTGGAGAGAAAATGTTTTGAGAATGATGAGGGCAATGAATGTACAAATGTGATTTACACAATTGATGTGTGTATGGATTGGGTTAAGAGTTGTATGAGCCCCTAATAAAATGATTTAAAAAAACAAAACAAGTCAAGCCTGCACACTCCTAAAAAAAAAAAAAAAAGAGTTGTATGAGCCACTAAAAAAACGATTAAATAAAAAGAAACTGAAGCCTAAAAGAAAGCCCTATGTGCTTTGCCCCAGGTCACACAGCTAGTGA